AAGTCTTGAGCTCGAACTGGAAAAATGGAAATCTACAAGCTCTGCACCATCATCACCCACATCGTTTACGAGCCCAAGCACTTCCCCAAGTAGTGGAAACTGTAATGGAACATGCTTTTCGGCAGGATCTTCCCCTAGCTCAAATACCTCTGGCTCAAGTACAGAATGTAGTAGATCCCCAAGTAGCATTGAAGAACTTACTGTTAGTCCCTTGGGGCCTATAAAGAAGAAAAAACTCATCCAGGAAAGATGTAGGACTATGTTATCATTGGTGAGTGCACTCTGTGAAAACAAGAATGAATCAATTTCTTCACTTTTTGGTCATACACTCACCCATGGGTTAGAAAGTGAGTGCCAGGCAGTGAAAAACACCATTTCAGAGCTGGTTCGTCATGTAATCAAGGTTAAAGGAACCCAGAATACTCTCAGAGTACTACTAACACAAGAAGTGAATGAAGAGCTGATCAGTGGCATTAGAGTTCCAGACTGGACACTCCTATATTTGAAGCTTCTCACAAGAACCCCAGATGCCACATGGCAGACCCTCCTTAATGTCACACATTTGGGAAAAAGTAGAGTAAGTGAGCTTTTGTTGTTTATTAGAGTTTTCTAAATAATTTTTGAAAATGTTTTGTTTGGCATTTGCTAAACTTTGTGATATCTGGCAAAAAAATTTGTAGGCTTTCAATAAACAGTTTTGAAATATTTAGTAGTTAGGTTCAATTCAGATACTTATAATTCTTTTTTGATTGGCTAAGAAGTGAGAACTGTCCGGTAAAATCTGGGAATTTCGTGTATTCTTGCAATTGGCTAGCTATCAATAACTTCCATTTTTTTTGGGACACTCACACATAGGTCCTTGCTGAGGTCTCCAGTTTACTGTCGGACTTACTGACTTCTTTTAAAATATGACGATTTTGCTTTGTTTTGGTAAACCTCTTTTCCCTCTAAAATGAAGACAAATTTGAGGAAAACAGCAAAATTAGATTACTACTTAAAGCAAAGAGGACTAATTCTGCTGTACTGATCATTTTTGTTACTATTTTTAATTTTAACGAAACAGTGATACACCTCCTCTGGTTTCTAAAAACCAAATCAAGGCCATCAAAGCACTGGTTTTCAAGGTGACTAAGGAAATCTATAATGTGAGGCGCCTTGACACAAATTTTGATGCTTATGCTGTCGATCTTTCCATGGTCCTTACTTGGGCAATCAGAGAACAACGACTGCATGGTTCTGACCAAGAAGACATGGAGTTCAACATAAAGATTGATGGTCGTCCTCTGGGTGGTGAGCTGAATGTCTCATTCTTACAGTCTATGCAGCAGCTGTTAGTTCCTTTATTTTATAGAAGCAAATTATCTATAAGATGCTGCAGATGCTAGAGAATTATGTGTATCTTATTAGATACCACTGCATCTTATTAGATGTCTTGTATAGTATGAATGTATTGAGAGTGTGCCATTGTTTGGTTTTTTTTTTATTTTTAATTTTTTTTTCCAGGAAGGAACCAGGTTGCTGTGGGAATTGTACCTATTGGCTTTAAGGGTAAAAGCTCAGAAAGTGCCCTATCAGTGTTTCCTATTGCAATTGCCAATTGCAAGGAACAGAGGTGAGTTTATGTAGCAAGAGCCTGGCATCCTAATCTTTCATGCTATGTCATAATATGATGATTGACCCTTAAATCTCTAACCCCACATAGTTGTCTACTTTTGAATTTACAGCTCCTTTCATAGTGGCTGAAAAATTATGTCTCCTGTATGGTAGGAGGGTATTGGGTATGGTCTGTTTGTACAAAGTAATAAACAATATTCATTTTCCCTGACACGTACGTGCTGTGGGACAAGAGACTTCCCAGTGTGAATACAAGGCTAAATGTGGGGATAAATTGATGCTTGCCTATCCCTGATATTGAAAAAAAAAATGATTTCTACCTGCAATCTAGAATCTTATATTCCATGCACAGAAGTTTTGTCCTAAGGCCAGTAAGAATAGGAATGTTTAATCTAGGCTAAGTAGTTACAGTTTCCATGTCTTTCACATGTTTTTTCTGTTCCAGACAGAATCTGAGGTCTCTCCTAAATGATCTGAATGTACAGAAGGCCACAATAAAGGAAAAAGGGATGAAAGTGGATGGGAAGAAATACAATATCTGATTTACAGGTAAGCTGAGGGTTAAGGTCAAGTAAACGATTCCTTTTTAAGCATACTAGATACCCTTATTAAAATGATATTGAGTTTTCAAATTACTCTCTAAAATTTTTTTTTATATTTTTAGTCACTATTGATTACAAGGCACTGTTACTCTTTCTTGTTAAAATCAACAATCAAGAGTTTGTACTTGGTGGAAGAGGGTTGTCAGTGGAATTCTGTTTGTCTGTGATGCTATAAGGGTAGGTTGAACATTCAAAGCCTGCATAAATAATCTAGTGCTAAACTGACTAAAAGGTAGGAGTTATGAATTACTGAATTGTGTTTATTATAGGCATGCATCCACCATGGGGCTGATGCAGATGAAACCTGTGTTGACTGTTTGAAGTCAAAGGCTAACATAGGAAGGTAACTAAGCTAAAGGGTGAAATGAAAATTTAGTTATGACATTATATGTGAAGGAAATCTATTTCTGTGAGTCTTGGTAATAAGTAAAAAGTTTTTTTAAACTGCATTTTACTGTACTTTGTGTTCTGAGGTGACTGTGCTTAAAGTAAACACAATTTTTTTTAATATTAACGATAGTGAAGGTGGTTTCTGCATTTTAGTGAGTGCATTTTAGTTGTGTTTACTTAATACTGAGAAGGTATTTTGTGTAATTTTAGGTGATGTTCAATTAATGTTAGGGACATGGAAAAATATTTTGACCATGTATTTTATGTTGCATTATAAATTGCAAAAAAGATCTATACTGTTTGCATGGTGTTTATTGTGTTCTTTGTTATCATTAATTGTTCCAAGGCCAAAGGGCCTAAGGGATGAATTGGTGTTTCTCTTGGAAGAAGACCTGAGCCACATCAACCTGTGCTCATTACATTGTGAGATGTGCAACACAGAACAATTCCTTGGTTCCCTTGGTTTATCTGCCTATAGAGTTGGTTGCCTCCATCTACTCAATGCTGCTTTGTCCAGCTATGGTGCTGAAAGCCAACAAGATTTTTCACGCATCAAAGTTAAGAAAAAACCTGGTCAACAAACTGGAATTGAGAGAGCAAACATCAAAGTGGCATCATTTTCTGGTGAGTTTTGCAGTGGGATTGATGTACACATATTTTAGTATTATGCTACTTTCGCAGCTTTATTAGAGGTGAGATAAGGTACCATTACAGTTCCTTTGTTTATCAGTAAATTTCTACCCCTTCCAGCTCCTTTTCTTTCCTTGAAATGTCGTATTTTTTTGACCACTATTTTCCTGGCTTCTTTTAAAATTTCAACTATCTTTCTTCGAAATGAACTAATTCACCTCCAGTCCATTTTTAAGGGTTATTTATAATGATTGTTCAGGTCTTAGTCCCAATATGAAAATTTTCCCTATTAAAGAAGATGCATTTGGTGTTGAAATAACATCTAGCACACTGGTTTGTTAAAAAAAATATATGTTAATTAATGGAACTGATTAAATTATACATATTCTCTCAAAACCCTGCACTCATGATAATTTCAGGAGGAACAGAAAGACAGATCCTAAAGAACATAGACAATATTGTCAATACTGCACTTCCCCTTGATAAAGTATCAGGGTATTACCAAGACAGTGAAGGTGGTGGATGGGAAGAAGTCATGGAATATCAGGTCTTCTTAATAATAATAATAATAATAATAATAATAATAATAATAATAATAAATGATTATAATAATAATGATGGGTTGGTTTTGCCGTGATGTTATTGGCTGTAAGAAGTCTTACAGGCAAAACCAACCGACAAAACCGGCAAAACCAACCGACCATTTTACACGAACTGGAATAAGAACATTCTACTGACAACAATCATTCACTTGACTCTGATGATGACTTCCGCACAGGTTGTCGAAACGTCGGTCACCACCACCGACAACAGTCCTTCTTAGGACTACACTCACCCGGACGATCAGACTACACCTTTACATGTTACTCCCGGGTTCAAGCCATTCACTGCATTATAACCTCGGTTGATGGAGCTAAAATTACCTCGTTATATTCTCCCACCGATACCGTACCACAGTTTCTTAAGAAGCTTGCCCACTTCTTTGCTTCGATTAGCTCTCTCTAACTTTGTGGTAACTTTTGATTCAGAGCGAGCCGCAGCTGCTAAGATTTTAGCTGCAAAAGAGGGCGAATAGCTGCATGGTTTCTCTTTTCCACTTGGAAGAACCTTTCGTTCCCACCTAATAACGAATTTGTTTCCACTCATGTCATCCTTTTTTTGTCAGTCATTTTCAACACACGCATCATCATCTCCGGCTGGATGGTAGTATTGGTTGCACTTCACCACAAACTTCTGGCCGGCAGTAAAACTTCCTGTCACCCGGGACAGTGCGATTGAAGTAGCATTCGCCTTAGTTCAATTTGTTGAGAGGATCACGCACAGTGAATACTTCCTCGTGAATTGAGGACAAGAACTCTTGTATATGCAGCTTTCTCCATTTCTTTCACCTCACGCCTTTGTAAAGGCTTACGTTGTCTTTTATGCAACCGTCAATTCTGTTTCCATGGAGTTCTTGTGGAATACGAAAATTTCCTTTAAGTATGCATGCAAGGGTAAGAGATACTTGGAGATTTCTTTGACTATCCCCTCCAGCAACTCTTGTGGGGCCTGTAGATTCTGGGGGGACACACCAATTTCTTCCAGCAACATGATCAACTGTCATTTAAGGTAACCATTTACCTATTGGCGTGGATGTTCCATGAACCTCCGGCTTTTTCTCACCAGGGTTGAGGAACTTTGCATGGATTTGTGGAACTGCTGTTTGATTTCTTTTAAATCTTCTTTAAGAACTAACATCCCCTCGTTTCCTCGGTAGCGTACACGGACGGCACTAGGCTGGTAGTCGAGCTTTAAGGCTCTTTGCACTTCACAAGAAACTTCTGTAGACATAAAACCACATCCATCAGTGAGAGTGTACCGAGCACTCGTGTTACATGAGAAATGCACTCGTATTCAGCCAATCAGGCGCGCGTGATTTTTTCATGCGTATTATTACAGGGGCAAGTGTAAAATATGAGCCATGTTTTCGTCTATGAGTCTTTTGAAAGCAACCAAGTGGACTGTCTTTCCTTTTTTACACCTTTTGATTTCCTGCGTTGCCTACTAGGTATTTGTAATACAAACAAACTTCGTACCTACCCCTCAACCTATTGTGTAGATGTGGGTAATAATCTTGGCCATAATTTCACTGCTAAAGGCATAACGGCCTGATTTATAACATTTGGCTCTGGTTCCTCTTGTGCTTAATTTGCATATGACGATTTGTTTGGGAAAACCCCTAACAACAGGAAGTCGTGTAGAGTTCTTCAATCCATAGAAATGTGTCATTGTTTCTATGTTGTTGCATATAGCCGAACTTTTTTTAATGCACCCCATGTTTTTATTTTCTGTTTAATTTCCCTGCTTACTTATAATTGCGAGTCTCGTTTTATTTGACGGCGCAACACTGATATAAATTAAGAAGTTGATTTTCTCGGAAATACCACAATCAGATTAAGGCATTTCTTAGAAAGTGATCGGTTAGACTTTGAGTCGATCTTGTATCATCTCATTGACATGCTCCTCCCACACAGCTGACAATTCTATTCTTTTCAATGCACGGATGTTTTTCGTCTACGATCCACGACCTTGTCGGCCTCAGGAAAGGACCATTGATATTCTTACATATTCTTGTTGGGGAGGTGGGTGGGTAAGTTATTAAGAAATGTAAATGTTCATGAAAATGGCCAAACTCACTAAGCTAAGGAAGATATCATGCATTAATGACAGACGTTCAAACTTTTTACCCGGGAGGAAAGAAATCTCGCAAGAAGTTCCCTCCGTAAAAGTAAGAGAGACATTTGGAAAATTCCTTACCCTCACCTCCATATGTATAACTTTGTTAATGGTTCGTTTGTGCGTTTCTTAGAAGAGTAATCTACAAAGCCGACCGCCTTTTGTTTGCGTTGTCATGCTAAGCTATCATAATACCTGTCAGGTCAACCAGGTCTTTTTCTCAGAAATTTACCTTAGATTTTAAGGAATTTCGGAACTTTTGTCGCATTCTCTCCAGATATGAAGCTTCGATTGATGTTGATGAGCTCTTGTCATAGATCCTAAACATGCCATCTTATTGACAAGACGCATACAAAAGAGTCGGCTTAAACTGGGCCCTTAGCCAAAGTTAAAAAAAAGTCTGTTCAAGTAATTTCTTAAAGCAGTCGGGGGACTCCCCCGAATTTGGGTGTCGATTCACATATTTTATCTAGAGCCGAGCGGAATTGGTTCGCTGCATCATTCTCGTTCATGAGGTTGAATACTACCGACGAAGGAAATTGAGAAGATATGTGACGAGGACATCAGAACGTAAGTAGAAGTATTGAAATGAAGCGACATCAGTGACATATCGACCCACCATTCGGTGAATATTGAATTGCTTTATGAACGGCTCTGGTACATTTTATGCAAAGCCTGTCGATGTGAGCTTTGAGGCCCTCTATCTTGCCTCCCTACGAATGGTTTATCTGATGCACCGAAAGAAGTTGAAGAAATTTTGGCACTCAACGAACGCAACATCGTCATTGCGACCAAAAGTATAACATAACGAAAATAATATCTTTTTCATGCCAAAGCTGAAAATAGATTGATAGTTTTCACTGTTTGGATGTAATCACACAAAATCAAAAGTAGGCATAATCTGTGTGCAATGTTGAAGACAGTCTCTACCTAAATGTTTTCGGAATCGAATTAGCACATGGATTTGCTAGACTGACATTGAACATAAACACCTTTATCGGTGAACGTAAGTCGCTTATTTCTTTACATGAGTCAGTTCAAGAATTTTCTTTGGAATTTATACCTTAATCATTAGCTGACATTATTTACGCTCTTCATCATGTCCAGAAAAAGCTTCGTGACCTTTCGATTTCGGTTTTGTTCAAATTAGGGAAGAAGGTTCTTCTATGCGGAGATATCTTGTTGTTATTTAACAGGCTAGCGTCATGACTTAGAGAGAACAAACCTGCTCTGTGTTATCGTATACGTAGTCAGAAAAACTTATTTTGAAACACAAATCTTGAACAATTGTCAGTTGGCTGACTGAGTTTTCTTTTGATCGACTTCTTTGTAAATTCCAAAGCAGCCATAATGGAATTTAAACTGCGTCATGGCTTTTTTTTTCTTGAATCTTGACCCTAATTCGCCAAATTTTTCTTTTGCAAACCACGTCAGTATTCTCCCGGCAATCTTAACCACACTTGTCCGTTTTACTTTACGCAGAATTTATGGTTTTATTCGACGTAAAGTTAATTTTGTGATCAGCTAACCGCGACTCATTGACTAAACAAAAACCTTGAAGTAAATACTTCAGGCTGCGGTTTCATCGACCGCTTGATCTTTCTGTCGACGTTGCTAAGCTAAATTCACAACAAACCCTGAAAATGTAGTTTATTAAGTGGTAGAGTGACATTTTCATTATTGCTTTTAAGTTTAGCTAAGGTTTGACTTTACTCCATCAGTTGATCCTTGAAATAGCCTTGAGATGGCGAGGCCTCTTCGCATTCCATGTGCTGCACCAGTGGTGTATCCGTCAGATGGGAAACTTCATGTAATTCACGTTATCATTAAACCCGGGAAAGGTGACCAGGATTGTGTATCTCGGCAACAAAAAGCGGAACAATTGAAGAACTGCTTAATGATTGATCAGCTCCTCTCCGAAGGAAATACGCAAGGAACAGATGGAAAGAAAATCGTGTGGGAGAAGCTATTGATGCTAGAGTTTTCGTCTTATCCTGAGGACCAAATAAGGAAAATATTATCCAGGAACGTCGAATACAACGGCTCAAGGTATTGCTTTCTCGGATTTAGTGAGGCACAATTGAAGAAAAAAATATGCTTTCTCATTGCCGAAAACGACATGAAAATCCGTGAAAGACGAGCAAAGTTTGGCAACTTAAGCAAGGATATCTCGTTTGCCGAACGCGTAGCTAAGGTTCAAGACATGTTTGAGCCATACGAATTAAGCTTGGAATTAGCGGAGGGCGAGTTTAGTTTCGAAACCAAAGATGGGCTTCCTGAACAAAGTGGTTTTATGGCGCCTGAACTTGCCCGAAAAATCAATGAAATAGGAGCACTCAATGTTATTAATGATCCCAGTGTTGTTGAAGTTATTTGTCCGGGATTTGCAGGCATACTGCTATTGTCTGATGAAATTCTTGCGAGAACGACGAGTGACAAACATTCCCACTTAAAGGCCCTTTTCAAAACTTCTGCAACAACGAGAGACCACGGCAACGCACTGAAACTGTGTATTGTTGACTATTCCAAACCATTTGAGGTTGGCTACCTGGACATTTTCACTGTGATGCTTCTACATTACCATGGTGTAGAAAGTCGAAATCTACTGGAATTTCAAAGGGACTTTCATAACCTTTTAAGATCCCTGGAAACCGATTTGACCTCTGCGAAGAACTTCCTTCGTTTGAAAGGAAGAAAGGAACTTTTGGCAAAAATAGACAAAGAAATGACGCCTGAAGCTCGGAAAATTATTTCCAAAATAAAGGAAGAGGAAATAAGAAAAATGCAAGAGTGCAAAGATGGCCCGGAAGAGATTAGAATCCTTGTGAGTGAGTCGCGCCAAGTGTTAGGAGTTATCGATCCAGATAATCAGCTTCAATCCAACGAGTGCTTCTTTGCTCCTAACTTGGATCCAATGCTACCTCATGAAAAAGATAGTTTTGAATCAGCAAAACAGGTTCTTGTAATTCCACAACCATGCTTCTCTCCATCAGATATCCAAAAGTTCAATCTTTCTCGCCAAATTGCAGCCTACGAAAAGTTTAAAGAATGCATTATTTTACCGTCACAAACAGGAAAGCGATTTGTCTCCAGAAAATATTTTGTTTGCTGGGATAGTCGTCTTGTGCTTCAGTACAATCCGTTCGCCTGGTATTTTTCCGAGGTTCCGTGTCAAGTTTCTAATTTTCTCCTTGGCATTTTTCGGTGTTTGAATGTAGAATCTTTCTTGTCGAATATTCGTCCAGAAGACACACAAGATATGGTCAGTGCAGAAGCTCTTGAGCCTCACGAAGGTGCATCGTTTCAAATGGAGCTGAAGAAACATTTCGCTGAATTTAAAAGCAGCGATGACTTGATTTTAAAAGCAAAGTTACTCTTCAAAAAGTTCGCACTTCTCGATGGATCGGCATCGTGTACAGAATGTAAGGAACTCGGAACGTATTTATCTCAAGGTTTTGACTGGAATGCTAAGAGAGCAAAGATCGTAAGGCGTTTTGAAGATCTTAAAAAGAAATACGAGAACCTGAGTTCCAAGATAGAGGAAAGCGGAGAATCTGTTGATGAATCGTCTATTCAAGATCTGAAAGGACTGTGTGTAGCCATGATTGAAAAAATGAGTGAATTTATCAAGGACACAACCGGAGAGCAGGGTTAAAAACGCTGTTCTTTTCAAACACTCGAGTAAGACTTTTTCTATCGACACAAAGCTGTGAAAAACATTTTCAGAAGTTGTCCAATATTTTAAAGGCGTTGCATGCCTCAATTAGCTGCTTCTCTTGTTAGTCGTTTAGAAAGGCACTGTACGAACCAGCTTTCTCTGCTTTTATATATCTCAACAAAATCAATTTATGGCCGGAGCAATTTTATTTAGAGGCCCCAAATGGTTTGCTGATAGAACATGTCTGTTGCTACCAAGTTTCCCCGTGTAAACAATGACCTTTTGGCCCAGAACAGTACACAGCAGGTCATGCATAACAATATATTCTAAGGCTAGAGGAAATTTCTAAGGAATATCTTATATCCACCTTCTTTAGAGGTCTCTAACAAGATCACAGGCCAGTCAAACTCGCCATCAATTCCAAAGAAGTCCACTTACCAAATGAGCGTACATGAATCTCGTCTTGAAAAGAATGCAAATGGGCATTTTTATTCAGAGATTAAAGACGATATTCATAAGCTGTTTCAGAAGTAGTTTTCAGCTAGTGCTAGGGCTTATGGAGTTTCTACTCTGACGCTAGCACTTTTGGAAATGCATTTCATCCATTTTTGGTGGCTGACGACTATCATTTTATTTCCTTGCAAAATAATTCCCCAGTTAACGCTTGAAGTTATGGTTTGCTTTTTTTGACTTTCAAAGTCAGACATTGCAAAGTTTGTGAAGCTGCTACGGCTTCAAAGTTCTTCATATTCCTTCCGTTTTTCTTTTCTATTCAGCGTCATTGTAAAGGCTTAAATGAAGTCATTATATCGGTTTACATATCATGTCGCAATAAATTTTTCATCAGCTGCATTTTGCAGATTTGTGATTTTGGAGGATATCTTTTTTGATTCTCGATTTCATTGCGTTTTTTTGTTTGAGAAGTGGAAAATTGGGAATGAGGAAAACGTGGTTTCAATCTTCAAAACTCAACACCTTCTGCGTCAGGGTCATTTCAATGAACTCTTCGAAATGATTTAAGTAACGGTGATACCTCATTGCCCAAAAGGACGGAGCAACAACAAAATCAAACAGAAAGATTACTCTTACCTCTTCTACCATACTGATTTGATCAGTCGTCGTGTAAATTTACCACCAGTTGATTGAACCAATTGGACCAAGGTCTAGCTGAATTGATTGGCATTTCCCTCGACGAACTGTTTGACTCAAGTGCTTGACGCCTAAATCGCCCATTCCAATACCATCAAAGCCTAACTGGTTTAGTTTATGCAATACTTTCCATAAGTTTTACACTCCTGTGCGAGTGATTGAACTGTTTGCTGACAAATTTCACCGTTTTAGAGCACAATCTCTGGTGGATAGTGCATCGGACAAATATTTCACCCCGTCGTCAGTTACTTTGTTTTGTGATAAATCTAATTGAAGCAATGTAAAATTCTCCTAGAAAAGAGCGCTCTGCGAGAAGTGCTGTACATGCGTATCGTTTATGTTATTCTGGGAAAGATTTAATTGACTTAATTTTCACTCACGTTTTGACAATGTTTCAAAAAAGTTTTGAATGGCTTCATCGGTGATGTGTGCAATTTTTGCGAGATTTAAGTAACTCAGCGTACACTCGTTCTCGATAAGTGCTTTGCACAATGCGTCCACTCCTTCTACCCGATCACATTGGAAGAGAGGTTTATATGAATCAGTTTACACTCATTTGTGGATAGAAACGTCACCAACTGTGTTACTCCATCATTGGTTATCTCTTTGTAAGAGAGATTTAAATGAGTTACGTTACATTTTCCGAGATTTTGAACTAAGACGGTGTTCAACACTCTCGTCGGTTATTTTATCTTGTCCTATGCTTGTGGGGGGAGGGGACAGGGGGTTCAGAGTCTCCCGCTTCCCGTGCCACGTTCTCCCGCATCCCGTACTTTTATGCCCCTTTGCCTCCCGACTCCCGCCCTTCGTTGTGTTGCTCCCGTCTTCAGGTTAATCAAGAGGATCAGACACCCGGGTTTAACTTTCAAACTGTGCCAAAACTTAATATTCTTGTTCATTTTCTGGCCTTTGTTTTGGAGGGGGAATCATTGGTTAACGATGAAAGTTACTACTTTTCAGTTTTCTTAATTAAACTAAGTTTTAGTAACCGGGTTATCACAGTTTGATCGTCGCTTCTGACATCTCGTTATAGAGACGAAAGTCTCAGTTCACTGTGTGATGTAATCGCTATTGCCATTGCAAAATCAAAGATAAAAAAAAAAAGAGGCAGACGTAACGTTTAGAGTTTGCTTCTCCTGTATTCGTGCCTCTTTCCCTTTTTGACGTGAGTAACTAATCGTAGCTAGTACATCAACTGTTGAACCGTTTGCATTTTGAGCGTTCAGTTTGAGTGCTAGTGAAGCATGATTGAACATTTTTGTTCGACTGATTATCCGATTTGTTCTTTCAAGCATTGGTGGATGTTGAATGGAAATTTCCCGCCCTCATGTAGATACCGCTTCCCGCCCCCTGTTCTCCCGGGCTCTCGCTCCCCCTGTCCCCACCTGTCCCCCTCCCCCCACATGCTTAGCGTTTTGATTTTAGACTCTGACTTTGATAAGGCAAGACAAATATGTTTCCACCAACATCAGTTGTTTCCATATCAATTTCCAATATCATCAGATTTTTGTTCACGTGAAGTAATTCTCCAATATCTCTACAACCACTTGGACCAATGTATTTATCATTTATCCTAATTCGGGAAATTTTGTCTCCACCAATGTGTTGTGAAGCAAGAGCTACTGTTTGACAGTCTAAGGGTGTGAGACCGCAGTCGCTTAGATCTCTGACATCACATAATATGCGTCCAATCTCTTTTGATACAATTTCTAATTTTCTACACTCTACTACAAACTTACACCATGTCGGTGCTAAATTTTGGTCTATCTTGATTGGCAAACAGATCTGCCTACTTTTTCCGGATTCCTCTGTTTCTGCTTCCTCAGTTGACAATATTTTCTTTTCAGTCAAAGATTGACGACAGTATTCCAACACTTTGACCAGTATGTCTTCGTCATCTAGCAGTCCAACAACAAACTGTAAAACTTGTTGCCATATCCCTTTCGTGAGGTTATCAGAAAAAAATTTGTGTACACCTTCTATCTTCAGCGTTTTTCCTTTTACCATGTACCATGCGGCGAGGAACTCTTGCATTTTAAAGTGGGCAAAACGAAAGAGGTTTCCCTGAAGCGAATGAAGCATGTTTTGCTGACTTGATCATAATGTTCATCCCAGTCAAACGGAAAGGGAATCCCATGACGTTTTTGCTTGTCTAAACGGTTTTTCTTTCAAACACCTGTAAAATGATGGCAAAATTTAAGCGATACAATAAGTGCAACTGAAGTAGATGCATCAGGCTTTCTGCCATAAGATGATATCGCACCGACATCGTTTCGTTACTAAAAATGGAGCAATCGAAGTAATTTGTGGTACATTTGCATTCCCTTGATAACAATAGCAATGATGATAGTGATGTTGAAAAAAATAATTCTAATGACGACATATAATTCTAATGGCGATCCCACCGGTTCAGTCGTGTTTTACTAAAATTGGCTTTTTCAAACAAAAACCTACTGAGAAAAGGTTCAAAACATTTTAGAAAAGCCAAATTGAAAACATAAAACCTAAATTTTTGTTTATACTGAGTGTCTCTTCCGAATTCATTGGCAGCTGCAGCTAGAAAAACCACAAAAATCCACCTTGAATAAAATGTAGGAGAAGGCGAGTCTCCAGAGGCAATGTAAATAAAATTGTCGTTATTGTGTTAAACTGAATGTTAAGATTTCAGTGCCTATTTTTTTTATACTTCAAAGTGGAAAATATCTTAACCTCTTTCTGACGTAAAGTCTTCAGTTCCTGAAAAGTAGTTTATTACATGGAAGGCAACATTAGTTAAGCGACAATCATACTTACCCTCGAAGATCTCCGCAAAGGTACACATCTACAGGTTTTATTACTTAAAGATTGGTAGATTGTCTCTTCATTAAAAAAGTCAGTAAACTTTTCGGCAACTGCACAGTTAATGATTTCTTTGACTTCATGCTTGCAATTCATAGCAGACTACAATTGGAAGTAGTCGTTGAGATATAAAATAGCTTTGGTCATTTAAAAAATGGTAAGCCGTCGTGTGAGTTGAAGTCTAAAGCAATAGCTTGATGTTTCCATGTGCTTCCAGGTTAAAGACTTCTGGTTGATTTGAGGATCGTTTTCTAACTCACTGTGCTGTGGCTTTCCACAATAAGTGTATTCGAAATATTTTGAAATTTACATATCTAGTACAGTATTTCGAATATAAATGAGTCCCTTCAACAGGTATGCAACTGTTGATGATATGTTTGTTTTGATTTAAATCAGTTTATTAATTAATGAACATTGAAGTGAATTCAAAATCTTGCATTCGTTCATGACGCAAAATTGATTGTTTTTTCTAACATAGCCAAAGTAAATAGTAAAACTATACGCAAGGATCATAATAACCAAGCAATATGTTTATAGAAGATTTCATTTCTTCTATACTTTTTCTATTGTCTAGAAATTCTTAGCCAGCTTCACAACTCAGATCTTAGCTGTGAAAACCTCGTTTTCAGGGTCTTCTCTTGAAAACCATGAGAACGAGGCTAGGGTGGTGTGATTTGCTGGCTTAAGTCCTTTAAGATCCTCCACTTCCGGTACCTTTCCACTTCCAGCTAAACAAAAACAACAGCATAGGACAAGATCACGAAAATGTATAATCATTTAATCAGAAAAAGTTACCATGAAGAATTAATCACGTTTTTGATGGTTTTTGCGAAATTGGCAGGGATATGTCATGTCTGTTGATACTCTATGCTCTTCCTTTGTAAGCAATGGTTTTACCATGTTATTTCAACTATTGTTTCGATCTTCCTTTTCCTGCATGTAAATTCGATTGTTTTAAAATGATATTAATCATAATTTTGGCAACTGAAAAGCTTTTGTTTTAAAGTCACAAGGTTTGAATAGAAGTTCTATTTCAGTATCTTTTAGAATGGTTTAAGGTCAGGTAGGTCAAGTAGAACCTTGAGGAACTGAATAACAACTGTGGATAATTCACATCAACTGGGGTAGCTCAGCCTACACGTAGAATTAATCAGTTCCAATTTACTGACATATATTTCTGTTGAAGCTATCAACTGGCTTAGGAGGTAGTCAAGTTGGTGATCCACAAACGAAAGGCGACCCACGGAATTGGAAATCACAATGTTTCTGGCCCATTTTTTATTCCGGGTTTTGTTAATGTTTGCAGTGACGCAGTTTGTCAGTAAGTGTGTTTGTATCAATGCGCTTGTTTGGCAGTCACATTTGTTACAGTTAGGTTACGTGTTTTGTATTGGTATTGCGTGCAGCACATTTCAGCAACCCTTTCGTGACGGAGAAACGTCTTAAAAGCCTATTTACTGTGCTGACGTACTTATCTGACAGAGACTGTTGTTTATGAAATTGAGCTAAAAGAGTCTTTGTTCATGAAATAAAAACGCAAACATCTTTTTCGCACCAGGTTTCTGAAATTAAATGTAGGTTCACTTTTAGTTTTGTTTGTAGTCGCCCTTGTGTTGATTCATCTATTTTCGAAATTCTGACTTCTTGGCTCTCGATCTTGTTACGGATACTTTCAAGAATTTTGTGCACCGTGTACAATCTTTTATATTTTCGGTTGATTGCAGAGCATTGTTAACACTTTTCTATACAATGAAACAGGCCTAACGTTTCGAATGAGCTTTTCGAATTTACTAACAATGTATGAGTTGTTGTGAAGATGAAAGAGGTAGAGTAGGTTATAGTTTTGGATCGAGCTTTTGATTGCTGGTATTCTTTGGAACACAGTACAAAGAACTTAATTTCATGCAAAGAACCAACTTCCACTCGGCGCTTTAGACTTGAGATTGACATAAAGAGATTAAGGTCTATCGTATAGATAAGTTTAGGTTATTAACATCTATTCAATGTCTATTGAAGCATAACTAAATTTATTCAAAGCCACTAGCTAACAGTTGAAATCAGCCCTCATTTGTCGGTTTTATCCATGCAATTTTCACTGAAGAGATTTTTAAAAAAGGACTCAAAATTAGTTTGCTATGCCCTTTAACCATCACAGAAATGTATCCAGTATTTCGAAAGAATTACTTGAATTGAAACCATGTTCAATCACTTTTAGGCTCAGCAAACACACGTAGATGTGACTCTTCACTGAAACAAAGCAACAACAAAGTTATTGTAAGCTGGCCCATCAACGTCAGGGCTTTTACGCCTGATCCTTATACAGATATATGCTTTGGAAAGGCCTCTAAAGGAAACGCTGTTTCGATCTTGTGCTGGAACAAAGCTACAAACTCCTTTACGTTTTCTAACCACAGTGCTTCATTGTCGTCCTGTGACTGGTGCAAGAACATCGTTACAAATCCACAAGCACAGGAGCAGCATGATGGTTCTGTCCGAGTGTCAGTGGAGGTGGCCTTGGCAGGAACTTTTGGCCAGTTGGTATATTGGTACATAATTTGGAACGGTGAATACAACAGGGTCATCAATGAAATGCTCCTTTGCATCTATAAAATAGGTAGGATGTTATTAAGTGTTGCAGTGCGTCTGTTTTGTGATACATCACAGATCAAGTCAAAATGTGGTACTGTGCACTTTGGTGTTTGTCTTGGTGTAATATTGAATGTGAAAAGGAGGGGTTTGTAGCGAACTGTATTTCGTTTTAAATTTCGTTTCCATCATTCGGTCAATACTTACTAAGTTAATTAAAAGTCAAGTACATAAAGGGGGTAAGTTTCAAAGGAAACTGTGGTGCTGCATCGGTGGGAGTAACAAGCTGATTTTGGTTTTATTTACTGAGTTGATGAAGTAAATTGGCTACTGTTAACCCTTTGTTAGCCCTCCCATTCGAGAGAAAACCCTCGAAACATAAGCTTTGAAACTCTTTACGGTGGCCAATTTACATTATCAACTCAGTTGATAAAACCAAATTATCTTACAATACCCCCACCCCACGCCCCACTAACGCTAAAAATGTCCGATTTACAAACTCTTTATGATGGCCAATTTACATTATCAGCTCAGTTGATAAAACCAAATTATCTTACAATACCCCCCACCCCACCCTCACTAACGCTCAAAATGTCCGCTTTACAAACTCTTTAAGATGGCCAATTTACATTATCAACTCAGGTTGATAAAACCAAATTATCTTACAATACCCCCACCCCACGCCCCCCCACTAACGCTCAAAATTTCTGCTTTACAAACTCTTTACGGTGGCAAATTTACATTATCAACTCAGTTGATAACACCAAACTCACTTCATTAAAAGTGACTACGACGATGTTGTGTGTAAACTTATCTTGTCGCGGATTACAGGATGTCCTCATCTTTAAACTCTCTAATTATTCACCTTTGGCTGTTTGGTGGTTTTCTCAACAGAAAGCTTTGACTGTGGTAAGAAACCACCTCTTCCCAAGATATTGGGTGGAACAGACGCAGTACCGGGGGAGTGGCCTTGGCACGTGTCTCTAAAACATACAGATAAGGCACACTTTTGCGGTGGCTCGGTAATCAGCCCGCGATGGATTGTGACAGCGGCTCACTGCTTTGACAGCTTTGATACAAAAGATGTCAGCATTGTTGCAGGTGAAGCTTATCTCCTTCCCGGTGTTGGAGTAGTTTTTACCTGACTTAGTACTACAGGGCTGGGCCAGTTTTTCTTTAGTTCGTTCTGTCGTCGTTCAAAAATTGTGTCACTTGCTCAACCAATCAGATGCAAACTAAAACAAGGGGATTTTCATAAGCCCCGTTTTTCCGAGCTCCGGATAGTTTGCTTGCTTTAACCTTTACGCTCTGACACCGTCTGTCACCACCTGTCCTCTACGCACACTAATAGAGTTGACAAGGAGAGGCTCTCAAGATGGCTCTCGTTATTCTTGTGACCTGAATTAATGTTTAATTCCAGGGACAATACTATAAGGATAAATTTAATAGCTTGTCACTTTAAGGGGTTAGTTATATATAGGCCATTGCCGGGTCCTTATACCATCAATCATCTTCTGACTGGCCTTGTAATTTCTTTCGGTTTAGATTACATATATACGTTTTATACAAGCCATTTTGTTGGAAATATCATGTAAAAATACTTATGAATGAACCTGGTGTAAAAGGGTTGTGCCTCGCTAAATCCCACCGAAAAACACTGAACATTTCATCTACAATATAAATATAGGAAGATAGGAAATGTCCTGTACTATCTGTCAGGGTCGGGTTGTTCAAAGTACGTTTCAGACATTCTAGGGTTAGCGTGAAATTTGAACTCAGATCTGAAAGTTTTCAATTCTTTTGGCCACAATAAATTTGATAATTGAATGCTCTAGAAAGGATTAGGAAAATTATTCCTAAAAAGGCTTTTGATAATAGAAATAAAGAAACTTGGATAAAAATTTAATCCTGGGTTAGCGCTAAGCGGCCTTCAAACAACTAAGCCTAGTGAGGGACCTATTTTTTTAAAAGCTTTCCTGATAAATTGGCGCTAATAATTTGTTTTTCCATTCGTGATATTCGCTTTCTCTTTTTGAATGGTTAAAATAATGAGACCGTTTTGAGTAAATTCCCATAAGGCATGGGTCGCACTTGGCAAAGTTTGGTGTGAATGTAGTCGCTTTGGTGTAAAAATCTTTCATCGGGGCACATTGCCTAGTGCGACCCTAACTTTTCCAGTTCGCAAAAACTTTGAAAACCGGCCAAAACATCAAAGACGCCGTAGTGCTTGGGTGGGGCAGGCAGATTTTGGAAAACTAGGGCTAAACAATAGCTATCACAGCGGTAACTGCCATCGCTTGTCAGTAAACAGCAAACGACTCGACTGGTCGCGGAACTGACCAGGCATATGGCGCGCGAGGAAACTGGTACGAGCCACCTTAAACCAAGGATTATCGTGATGGTCGGTACTGTACCGTCGCAGACAACTGACATGGATCTATTTGCGATATAGGTAATCACCCAAACAAGCTCGTTTCACATGTTTGTCTCCTTCCTCTTTAAAATAGGCAAATATCATCTTTCAAGGACAGACGGTTTCGAGCAAGAACTTCCCATCAAAAGGCTTTTCAAACATCCTCGATATAGCGTGACCTGTAGGTACAACTACGATGTGGCACTACTGGAGCTAAACGGGACTCTAAAGCTTAACAATAGAGTGGGGTCAGTGTGCCTTCCTGACGCTGAGTTTGATCCTGGTACCAGCTGCTACATTACTGGTTGGGGAACATCGGAACACGGTGTTAAGAAAACGTCTAAGGTACTCCAACTGTTAACCCTTAACTGGGATCAATACACGAATTTCAGATCATGTCATCCAGAAAGGTGACAAGAATTGAGGAAACTGTCGGCCAGTGTATATTTTGGTCATAATCCATCAAATATTTTTGCTCGCACGCGAGTGGTCAAAAAGCATCACGTGACCGAATAGGCCCGGCTAAAACTGAGGGATATCCGAAGATATACCCCCAGTGATATTCCCCAATTTTCAAAACCTTAAGTCCTGTACGATAAAAGCTTCCGTTTTAAAATGAATTCCCGAAGGGAGTGTGTTTAGTTACTGTTACAGAAGAGGAGACCGATGTTTGTTAGTTCATAGAGTCGCACTAGAGAACACTGAAAAGTAAACTTCCCGCGCAGCAAACAATAATATTTTCGCGCTAAATGGAGGCTACCGTTGATTTATCAGCAACACCAGGAATACTTCTAGATTCAAGGGAAATGAAAGTACAAGGCCATGCAATGTAGATGTGGGTATCATACTTCAAACGATATGGAGGATCAATATATTATATATATAACTGTGAAATCAAATTCGAGAGACCACTCCTTCTCAATTCTGTTTGTGTACAAAGATTTCAAAGTTTCCAAACTTTTAACTTTTTGATGAGGTAGAAAGAGTTGGGAAAAGGGAGGGAGGGGGTGGTGGTGGTGGTGGTGGTGAAATGCAATGGTAGCACTCTATACATCACAGTCAAATTGACCAATCAGTTTACACGAACCTGACTTATTACAATCGACTGACAACAATTATGTACTTTACTTTGATGACCGCGACCTGCACAGGTTGTCGAAACGTCAGTCACTTCTACGGACATCAGTCCTTCTCAGTTCTACACTGATTCACCCGAACGATCAGAATACACTATTACATACTTCGCTCTCTCAAGACCTCCTTTGAGAATTGTTGGCCGAAATGAAATAAAGCGAATCAACGTCTTAAAATATGGCGTATATACACTTTTTTTCTAATCTTTTAGTACTCTTTCGGACACTTATCTCGGAATTTTCCTATTTACCATTGTACTGACTTATCTTGCAGATTTTGAAACAGGCAAGACTTCCCCTCGTGTCGCGTGATATCTGTAAGAGAAGCTACAAGGACCTCCGACGTTCAGGCTTCTGCGTCACGAAACGCATGCGCTGTGCAGGTTACGCCGAAGGGGGTGTTGACGCCTGTCAAGGAGATAGTGGAGGACCGCTGGTCTGTCGGAGGAAAAGAAAATGGTATCTGATGGGCGTGATCAGCTGGGGTGTTGGGTGTGGAGAAGCAGGACGTTACGGAGTGTACGGTGATGTTTTGAGGCTCAAGCACTGGATACAAAATGTGATACAAGATTCATAAGAACACAAGCCACCAGAGATCGTTTCATTTTGTTTGCTTGACTTTAGAGTTCCGCTGCGCGCTTTTCTTAGTTGCTCCAATATCTAAGGTTTTCGTGGAGGGTATCGTCAGATTACCTTCCTATTGTTGATTGGCCTCGACTGTTACTGACCGTGAGGTCTTAAATGGCCGGAGATCTCAAGGTTTTTCTGCCGTCATTGACAGTCCCAACCGATCACACCCTTCTCACGCTATTGGCTTGTCTTTATTCCTCTGGTCTACCACTGAATTTCAATTAGCTGGCCATAATGAAGATCGAATTCGACACAACAAAGATGCAATGGCTTTGGTTGTACTAGTTAAAGGTCTTCCATGAAGTACCTAACCTCTATTTAGTCACACAGATCCAACATCAAGAATTTTGGAGCGAGCGCTCATTTTGGAAGGTCGAACTCAAAAGATTGTGAGTGACATTCAAGTCCTACTATGGCCTATGAGTGGAGTTGATTTGACTTTTTTTTAGGCATGTTTAATTGAGATACGTACCTCGTTATAGTTCAGGTGGTAATTCTACAAACCACCACTAGGTTTTCTGATATGGATTGAATTGACCGAAGAGAAATAGATAAGCTAGCTGTTTCAGTTGTATTTTGGAAAGTTTCTTTGGAGTGTAAATGATCCTGAACATTACAGATAGTAGCTGTAACGTTTCCGAAACTTGGTCTACGATAGGTGAAAATATCATCCTTGAAAAGTCTTCATACAGGAGTCGTTTTAACTCATATTAAGGAAGAAACACCAAGGTGTATCAAGCACAGCGACTTCGTGCATTAAATTACTCAGTTGTAAATAGAACTCGTCTCATTTTTTACATGTTCAGTTTTGTTTGACTTTCTTTTGCCCGGGACTCATTTTGAACATAATCAATAAGTTCCTCTCTAATTATTACTTCATTTAGTTGGAAGCGTCCATTCTTTCGTCGGCCCCCTTGATGCATTTTCCTAAAGTGTTCTTTAGATCGCTCCCTAATGTGTATCAGTGAACTCTCCTGAACGGGTTCGCAGACGCGTTCCATAGTACACTACAGTATACTTCCCTTCCCCTCCCCTCCCCTCCCCTTCCCTCCCTCGTCTCTGCCACCCCTGCGTTTCCCTGTGTTTTCTTTTGGCCCTTTAACCCCTTAGAGTGACTAGCATCTAATTTCTCCCCACAAGATCACCCCTAAATAAAACATCAGGTCAGGAGAATTAAGTAAATGATCATCAAATAAAGGAGCTCTAAGTTGTTAAACAAATTCGCTCTGTCATAACCCGGCTGAGGAGACGTATGGAGGACAGTATGGAGAATATGCAAACTGATATTTGGGTTTTGATTATTTGTTCCTTTTCTCATTTTATACCAAGCTTATAAACAGCCTAGAGTGTCTTTGTATACCGGTCGTTTCACTTTTTTACATTAGGGAAGGTTTTCTTCCATTTATTAGCAAGTTTACCCTTTCCCTACACTCACAAAATGAGGACATGCATCGGAACGCTGCAAAATTTGAACGTTATTAATCAAAAAGCAAATTTTTGGTATTAATATCACTTTAGAGTCAAAAAAATTTTTCCTTCCTTTAAGTACGTACACCACTTGACGGATATAATCTTAAAATTTAATTTCCATTCATGGCAAGTTCCCCACAGCACAGCGGGTAGAGCATTGTACCGCGAAAGCGGTCCAAGTCAGGATGGAGATCCTATTCCGGGAGACTTGCCGTTTTATGTTATGTATTTTTCTTTTTTTCAACGATTTGTTCCTTATCCCATTTATACCAAGCTTTAAAGTAGTCTGGAGTGTTTTTGTATACCCGCTTTTCACTTCATTACATTAGCGAAGGTTTTCTTTCACGCGTATTGGCAAGTTTACCCTTATCCTATAATCTTTAATTCAGGACACGAATCAGAACTCTGCTGAGTTTGAACATTATCAAATCAAACTGCTACGTTTTTGTCATTTTAGAATCAAAACATACAATTTTCCTTGTTCCTTGCTGTACCTCCTCCACTTGTGCCATTTCATTTTATGCATGGCAAGTTCCCCGCAGCTGGTCTTCTCATTTTGTTGCATCATCGAACATTTTTTTATCGCTAACGGACAAGTTTAACTTTTTCTTAGTCTAAACTTGAGGACATGCATCGAAACACCACTGAATTTGAACATTGTTAAATCAAATAGCAAAAGTATTAACGCCAATTTGAAGACAAAACACTCAGTTTTCCACAGAATCCCTGTGCACTTGTTCCTTACAATGCGTCCTCCACTTGTCACATATAATCCAAAAATTTGCTCTCCATTCATGGCAAGTTCTCTACAGTTTAGAGGATAGAGCACTGTACCACGAAGGCGGTCCCAGACAGTCTCGGACGACTTGGTCTTTCATTTTTCTTTTTTTTTTTTTAATTTCCCTTTTAACTTTTTTTTTCATGATCTGCTTTTTTTTTCTCACTTTGTTCCTAGCTTATAAATAGTCTGGAATGTCTTCCTATACTTGTCTTCTAATTTTGTTACATCATCGAACATTTTTTACCACTCTTTAACAAGTATAATTTATTATCAGACTTGATTTGAGAGCGTGGATCGGGACCCTTCTGAATTTTAACATTGTTGAACTGGCAAATAACGGGGTATTCCTAATAATTTCATCCTTCAGACAAACATTTTTTCTTCTAAATGTTTGTGCGTTTGATCTTTACAGCACATAGTCCACTTGTTGCAGATAAACTTGAAGTTTGCTCTTGATCTCAGGCAAGTTTACCGCAGCGCAATGTTGTACTGCAAATGTGACCCCAGCTAGTTTCAAATCCTTTTTCCTTTTTTGCCCTTTTTTCTTCATGTCATCTTTGGATAATTTTTTTGTTTTCTCATGATTTACCTCGTTTATAGACAGCCTTGAATGTGAATGTTTAATGGTGTTTTCATTTTGTACAGAAGCGAACATTTTCATCCACGCAATGGCAAGTTAACATTTTTCCCGAACCCTTAAAATTAGGGACGTGCTTCTGATCTCGTTTAAATTTGAACAAGATCAACTAAAGGGGCCAATTGTTTTGATAACGTTATTTTGAGTCAAACCACTTTCATTTTAGTATGTAAATTTTTAGCGTGTTAATTTTTTTAATGTTATGAATCGAAAACTATATTTCCAACATGAAAAGATAGAGGGCCTTTTTAAAATCCAACGTTCTCCAAAAAGGCGTGCATAAAAAAAAAAAAATCAAACCACACCTAAAATTATGACGTATTTGCTATCGATTGGATGTACGTTTTGATCCATATTCATGAAAATTTTCGATTACACTTCATTTCAAACTGTTGGCGGCTACGTAAGGATGTCAGGCGAGGCCGGTCCTCTCCGATGTATCTCCGTCAAAAAAGTTTGAGGAAAGGAATGGTTACTTCTCTGAACGTTAGGAATTTGAGCGCGCGGTGAGTATCTAATTGCACGTAGGAGTTTAACAGTAAATTTAAGACGAACATAGCTGTAATGTACGAATTTAAGCGTTGCCATGTGCGTTTGAGGTTTCGCGTCAAGTAACTTTTTGACCTTGCCAAGCTTTTCGGAATGCAACAAGAAGACTTTTGTAAAACACTTACACCAGCGTTTTCAGTTCTATTGTTGTCATGACCTTTAGAACCAAAAAGAAAGTTACTTTTATACTCTAATTAAGTTCAATCACAACTTGAGTTCAGAGTCCACAAGTCGTTTAATATTCAGTGTGGGACATCACACTTATGCGGTAGCGGGAATAATCAAGAACTCGCTTTCATCTCTTCGAGCGTTATCGATTCCAGCCAATCTTGTGCGGAAAGTCACATTTAAAATGGAACTAAACTGTTGAAGAAGTTAAGTAATGTCAATTTTTGAGGTTTTCAAACCGTGATGCTAAGTATCTATTTTATTCATGTCCAGAAACAATCCTCGGTGAAGACCGCAAGCTGAACAAGCACAACAAGTTGAATTCACAAGCGAGTAACAATGGATTGTCAAGCACTGGGGAACGTCGTAAAGATAAGAATGTAGATTAGCTTAAACGATAAAGTATTCCGATAAAATGGTGGTGTAGACATCAAGAGAGCATGCAAATATGGAGTAGTTTGGAACGAAAATTTGGCCAAATTTCAGTGCAGAATCAATCGAAGAAAGTAAGATATAAAACCTGGGATGGAAAAATTATGTTACTAAGACGATTAAGAATAATTATGGGTACAAGAAGAAATTAGTGCGAAGTCAAATTTTTCTCCTGTATTAGACAAGGACATCCAGCGAGAGGCCTTTTTCTAGAATTTTCGTTTGAAATATGCATTTATCGACATGTAGAATTGTCAACAACAGAATTGCAATGTAACCTCTGAGATGTACGACCACCATTTAAATCGGATATTTAACAACTCAGTTCACCGAAGTGGAGGTGGTTAGTAGTGGATATTTACCGAGCCGCAAAGCGGTGCGGTAAATATCCACCGCTAACCACCGACACTGAGGTGAATAGTTGTTTTAGTATATACTAAAACAGTGAGATAATATACACTGCTTCGTCGTTAATTTGAGTGATTTCTTCTCTTGTCACGGATGCAAACCGGGACGCCATTTTTTTCCTGAGTTGCTCGGAGGTAAATAGCAAAGGATATTCGGAGTTTGACTAGCCAATCAGAGCGCGCCTTCAACGCTATCCACTGTTTTAGTATATACTAAAAAGCGACATTTAGTCCTCATATCAGTGGCACTGCAATCCTAGCTCTCGGTTAGTCATCAAGCTTGGCAAACTGACTTTGTGAACCGTAATTACAACATTGAACCTATATTGTCTCTGGCAATCTTCAGTGATCAAAAATTAGGACGCCAATTTTTTGCTTGTTAGTCCGGCTCCCAGTTTGTCAACAGTGCCACTTGATGAGGAAAATAGAATTAGTTTATATTTCCAGTACTAGTTCTCAAAAGGAAATTGCTGGTGCACTTTGTTTTCTGCGAGATTTAGGTACAGAAACCTTAAGGCAACAAAGCCTAATGCTTAAAACTTCATTTTCACTTTCACGTTTTTGAAAAAGCAAACGTACCCCGATATTTGCGTATTCTTTGTCAGTGAAAGTACAATAAGTTGACACAGAAACAGAAACAACCTGAGAAAACCGATATCAGTGATTATTGCTGAATGAAAATTAACTTTGCTTTTAAAATTTAATACGACGTTTCAGATTCGATTAGAATCCCACATGAAGTACGTTTCTTAAAATTGACGTGGGTCTAATTTACAAAAAGGAAAGAAGAAAACGGAAAGAGTACCATCTAACCCATACATTAATTATGCATTCCACTTCTTTGTATTTCACGACAAAACTTTAAAAACAAAGTCTACGAGGCTGAATGCCTAATTAATGTATGGGGTTATATGGTACTCTTGCCGAAGAAAACTGGTGTTTTCTTTTTCGATTAATTTGAAATTTCCACTCACTGAGCTAAAGTTTGAACAAATATCAAGTTATATTTGGTGTAACTCGATAGCTGAGCTATCGTTTCCAAGCAGTGAGCTGGTGAATAAATTTTGTTTAAGCAAAATTTTGCCAGTTTTTCAAAATCAAAACGAAAAGAAAACTTTACAATGCGAACTCGAACTTAAAACAATAGGGCCTGGATGATTGTCCTGATTGATAAAAAAGATTACCAAATACTATGGAAAGGAAACGACGAATACTCTAAAGAAAACATACGCATTTTGGGCCAAGAAACAAAACAATTAACCGAATATTTGAAATGATTAGACATGAAAAATGAAAGAGAATTTGAAATCTCGGTGCTGCAAAAAATAATATAAGAGCCAGAAGTTAATTTTTTGAGAACTATATTGGTTGTTAGTAAATGTTCCTCCCGGTTAGCTCAATTGGTTAGAGCGCTGGACTGTTGTGTGGGAGGTCGAGGTCGATGGTTCGAGCCCCGGCCGGACCAACACTCAAGGTCTTAAAATAACTGAGGAGAATGCGCTACCTCTATAATAACAAGAAATCGATATACATTCTAGTCTTCTCGGATAAGGACGAATAAACCGAAGGTCCCGTCTCCTGCATCTATTAATTAGTTAATTTGGTTAGGCAGGGGACGTTAAAGAACCCACTCGCGAGATTACTTTGATGTGGTCTGGCCTGTTTACTGGGAATTGGGGGCATCTTCAAATAAGCTCCCTTCGATTGTTTGTAAACTGCCGATGCAGTCCGGCCAAAGTCCCCCAAAAAGTATTGTGATGCGCATTTGATCATATCCACATGTTAATTTGCGCAATATAAATATTAAATTATTATTATTATTACACACTGGATGAGAAAGAGGCTAGACGTCTTACCGACGTGAAAACCAAACAAAGATTTTTAAGGTTGGCAAACTGATTAATTTTCAAACAGATGAATTCTCGCGGACTCAAAGAAATATTACAGTATGTACAAATTCTCAAATGAGAACAACTGGATTTGGACGACATGTTGCAAGACATCTTTTCGATGCAAAAATATAATATTGAAAAAAACCACCAGTGATTAGAAATCCTTTGGGGAATTTTATTTAATGAATTCTCTCGTTTTAATCAATTGTCATAACTATACATTCAAAATTAAAGCGAAACTGACAATAACTGAATGATGACCAAAGACCTCGGAATTTCTACCAAAAAAAAAAAAAACATTCCTTGTGTAGACGGATGAATTGCATTGAAAATCATTGACATTATCAACAGGGAGTTTACAATTACTCTGAATCCCCCCCCGTTCTGAAAAAATTTCGATGGACACGGACGAGTTGACTTGATATCCTACCAAGCTCAGGGCAGAATAAATTTGGAACGCCTCTTTACTTTCAGTTTGTAGGTATAGTCTTAAGGAACGTGGCAAGTCAATGTTATTGAAAATCAACCTTGAGATACATTTTGTAAATTCCAATCAGTCTGTCTGGTGGATTTTAGTTATAAAAATAAAGAGAGGAATTTTACTTTGAATCAACCTCGGTCAAACATTCTGGCTTGCCCTGTTGCCTAAGATTTGGTAAGTTAACGATTGTTTTAGCCATTTTCTTCGTGGTATGTAAACACTGAGCAACATACAGAGTTTGAAATGAAAGTCTGGAGTCTTACGAATTTTTTTAAAATTTCACTCAAGTTTGAAGTATATACGGCTGCACTCAAAATGATCGACAGAAATTTTTTACATGTCAACTCTTACAGGTAGCTTTTTGAAAAGCCACAACGTAATTTTCATTATTAATTTGATGTAGATGTTCTCTTCGTGAAGGCTAAAATCTCTTTAAAAAAAAAAAAAAAAAAAAACTCTGTATTTGCGCTTTGTTTATGCTTTGACGAAACCGGCCGAAAAATGCAAACAAACAAAACCTCGTACAAGACTTTATTTCTAAAACAAAAGATGCTGAAATTGGAGTGTTTCTCATTCCATAAGATTAAATTTGGAAGACAATTTTTTTGGATGAAAAAATTTTGTACGAGTTTCTGTTCGTTCATCATTTAACGGGAAACCAATTTGAATTTTTTGTTGAAAATGTTGTCAGGGCAAACTCTGTGCAAATTGCTCCAAATTTTCCCGCCAAAAGTCTTAGTATATATTTAAACGAATTTTTCTTGAAAGTCACTTAACTAATTATAAGATGCTTGTTGTTATTTATTGACCGGCAAAATTCAAGGAAATAAAGACATGAAAAAGTGCACATTGCAGTGTTTATTGACTTCTTTTAAATAATGTACATCATGTGAGATACACAACTAACAAATAAATTTATTTTATTTACATCTTCTGAAAAAAAAAAAAACGGCGCATGCGTATTTTGGGCGGGAAAATTGTATCGTATTAAACGGATGTTACTATACTTAACATTTTCAAAAAAAAAAAAATTGGCGCATGCGTATTTTTTTCTAAGTTTTTGGCGGGAAAATTAAACAGTTGTGATAAGGGCTTAGAAGGTAAAAAAATACTATAGTTTCACAAAAATAACTAACTGAAGATTTTCTTTCTTAATAAAACTGAAAATTTGTCAATTTGTCTTAAAAAAAGCGAAGGTGCACAGTAAACGCTACTATTTGCTTTTGAATAAAATAGATGAAAGATTTGAAATATTGACATTTTCACGAGTCACGAATTGTGTATTAAAGTGCCGTCTGAACGATGCTAAATACTAAACTTCCAAAAGAAAAAAACAAAAACACATTCCTTCATGAATACGACTTACGACTTAAGAGGACAAGTTACTTTTACTAATCGTGACCTTGTGAGCAAAGATCTGGCAATTCAGACACAAAATTTCCTACTTTCGTGGTTTAATCTCGTGATTTATCCAACACATTTTAATAGCAGTTAGATTTGTTTTTCAAAGGCAGATAATTCACATCATTCACTTATCGTAAGGACTATAAGCTCGTGTTTGAAAAACCCGTTATTCTTACACAAAATCTCTCAGTTTTAATCGGTTTGTTTTCATAACTTCTGCGTCTTGATGCTTAAACGACATGGAGAAAGTCTTCACTACGGCTCGTTTTGAAACGAATGTCGTTTGAAAACTTAAATCTGGCTATAAGGGGACGAAAACGCTACATGAAAACAAAATCCTCGTCAAAACTTTTCATCTCAAATTATCTTAAAAATGGTTTGTAACTTGTCACAATAATTGCGTTTAAAGTGCACCTTCGCAATCTATTACTGTTTATCTCCAAACTGTCCTAATTCAGGATTCTACCTTTAAAACATGTACGCTTGATTTAAATCCAGCCATTTGTCCATTTTCCACTTTGATATCAATCCAGTTCCTTGTCGATTTGTAAGTTTGATTTCAATCCACTTTTTTCAATCGTCCACCGACTTGAATTCAGTCCAGTCACATGTCCATTTGTCAGATGTCAGATGTCAATGAAAGTGATAATCGAGTGACCTTAGCACAGACTCATAGAAGAGAAGAACATGAATAAAAAACAGCTGGTTAGACTCGTTGTCAAAGAAAAGAAACAAAATGATTCCTAGTTGTTATCGTTGTGATAGTAATGAAACAAACCTGTATGTCGCTCCGACGAAGGGCTAACGCTCGAAACGTCAGCTTTTGTAATCGTTACGGTGGCCAATTTACCACTTCAACTTTGTTGATATATCCAAACCTGTATATCCCCTTGAAGAGAATGACGTTTACAGACGTTAACATTGTATAGTTTATATGGACATCCAATTTATGAAGTAGATATATTGATGATTAAGACTGTCTATGTTCGCTTAAATGGTCTTTATTTTGAATAAATAATCGTAAATACTACAGTAAAGGCTTATCTATCATTAGCATTCGGTAAGGAAGAGAGGGCGTCCATTGAAATGTAGTGAAAATCCTCGTTCTCGTGTAGACTAAGAATGCTTATGAAGAATTGTGGGGGGATCAGTTGATATTTGTTTGGAAAACTGTTATCAAACTTAGCCATGCTTGAGCATTAAGGTAAAGAAGATATAAATAAATGTTAAGAAGCTAGCAGTCTTGTAGCTGAGGTCAGTTGCATAAAACTCGGATTTTGAGTATACAAGCCATAATGGTATCCGGACAACTCACCCCTTGGACAATTAGCCCCAGATAACTCGCCCCCGATCTTCAGACAACTGGCCCCCAATATGAAAACACCTATGTTACATTGGACAAATATATTTTTTATGCTCATAAAGTAATAATTTCTTAAAAAAAGAAGAAAGTTTGTTTTTTGAAGTTGCTGAAGAGAAACAGATTTAACTGTTTGTTTTTTAGTTTTGAAGCTTTCTGTACTATAAAAAACAAACTTTCATCTTCTTTCAAGAAATTGTTACTTTACGAGCAAAAAAATGCATTTGTCCAACGTAACACAAGTGTTTCCATATTGGGGGCGAGTTGTCTGGGGCTATTTGTCTGACATTCGCTACAATAGGTGATCAAACGCCTAAGGTATAAATCATTTCTGATTGTTAAGCAATGATACACCGCGAGACAACAAAATTGCTTTAGTGACATATTGTAATTAGTTCCCTGTTTGAAATCGAAATGCAGAAAAAAATACGGAAATCTACTAGAAAACACATCATGAACGAAAAAACGAAAATCATCATGAAACTTAGAACTGTTGTTCGATTTATCATCTACGGGTTTATATCGAATTAATTTGATGGCCTGCTCCCAGTTGGCTTGTTAGCTCAATTGGTAGAGCGCTGCACTAGTATCGCAGAGGTCAGTGGTTCGAATCCCGTACAGGCCTGAAATTTTTTTCAGGTCTGATTTCCACTATTGCTCAAATAGTGCTTTACTGCGAAGGATCGTTCTTATATACGAAAACAGACAAGGTTGCGAGTGGATTTAAAGCGAGGATTGATGGAAACAAAACCTTTAGCAATCTTCCACATCTCTGCCTTCGGACTTTCGATAGAAAAACAAGTTATCTACATGTACATTATCGCTGTTTTAGCCGCATCAACAAGAGGCCTGTAACAGAACTACAGACCTAAATGCCTACTTTTAAAAGCATTGAAGATTTCCACTCACCGATTTCAGAAGCTCTCTTTGATTTCCATATTCCATGTTTCTTTTCCTCTTTTAGACTAGAAATTTTTCAAAAGAACACGATAGGATTAGTTCAACTTTACAAGGAAAACCATTAGCTACCTTAAAAAGCAAAGAATCACAAGTCAGCCATTTTGGTTGCCATCTTGTGCGGCCATGATTGCGTTGCAATGTCACTGTACAATGTGCGACCTTTCGCCTGTTACCTTTGGAAAGTCCTCGCGTGGCTATTGCAGAAGCCTTTGTGTCTTCATCGACGAAGCTTTTCTTTAATCCTGAAGCTTGTAAACCAAGTTAGGAAACCTAAACGGCCACAGAACTTTCCACACTCGAGTAACATCTCAGAAGCATGAGCAGGTGAGAGAAAATCATGAATAATAACAAGAAAAAATTGCAATTCAGATCGGTTTGCAGTCCATCCTTGACCTCGCGGGGTATTTTTTTTCATGCGTTCACTCTCTCAACAGGTTTCAAAACCAACTTTATCTAAACACAAAAAACAGCGTTATTTTGACGGGAGATCGAACGAATCTCAGCAACGGTACTATGGGTGTGTCTACTGAAGAGGGTTAGTCATTCTGGATCAATCTGAACAACTGCGTACCTACCCCTCCCATAACTCAACATTAACCCTTACACGTTATCAGTTGACTGTTGTTGGCTCAGGGGAGGAGTGGGTGTGCAGTTGACTATTGTTGGGCCAGGGAGGAGTGGGTGTGCAGTTGCTCCTATCTGAAAATATCGTAAAGCAATAATTTTTAATCATAAAACAACACACCATTTTAGTCCTATCGTGAATTTTTCTTTTAAAATAACCCTAATACAGTCTGTAAAGATCTCATCATTACCTTTTTATTTGACTGGGCAATTGTATTCCTATTTATTCATATTCCCACATGAAGAGAAAGATAAATCTCTCTCATGAAAGAGTTTCAAAATGACTCAGGTTTGAAATTGTGCAAATAAAAAAAAAAATGTATTCACCCTAATCCTAGATCCTAGGTGAAACTAGCCACCTAAAATTGTCAACAGACCCCTGGGCACCTCAAGGATTCAAATGGATAGGTGTCTATCAACTATGATCAAATGATTTAATAAGCTCTTCTTGCATTCTATAACATGTTTTTCATTTTTTTCATTAATATCAGGGCTGTGGCCTAGCGGCGCCCGGTGGCCCCTGGCGCCTTACTTCACTCTTGGGTGGCTTAGGACTTTTAGTTTTTTCATAGAAAAGCATATGCTGGGTACCCTAGATTTCATAGTTTCAGAGCAGTAGGCTCCCTTCACTTTTTCTTAGAGCTCAGCCTTGTATTTAAAAAGTCACTATCGAGTATTTGTCACCTCCCCCTTAACTCCCAAGATCTGATTGTTAATTCTCCCCTCTGCAGTGCTTTCAATAAGATTTGAAATAGGTGGCTAACTCAATACAACACCCGCCGGAGAGCGACTTGATTGTGACTTAGCATGGTTACTGCGACTTGAGCGCAGTGAAATATACCCGGTGACTTGCAACAGAATACCCGCCGGAGCTCCAGCAGGTGCTGCGTCTTATTGAAAGCACTGCCTCTGGCTACTACATATTTCCATGTAAGTTAGTTATGAGAATTTGGTGTTAGATCAAGATCACAACCCATATCTGATAAGCATGAGGATTCTCATTACTTGTTTGCCAGATAATGTGTAGATATTATGAGGAGAAGTTACATGTTAATCACTTCTGGGAGCTAAAGGGTTTTAGAGAAATTCTGACAGGATGACAAATTCAAATTTTGACAAATTTGGCTGTTGAAGGTTTGTAAGGAGGTTTATAATTTAACTGCTTTATATGATGGAAATTTGGAAGAGGGTCATTTTGCTTTGTTCTTACAAAAGACACTTTACTCTTGTGGAGCTGTTCCCCACCCATGGTTATAGAGGGCTACTGGAAAACTATAAATGGAAGGAAACTTGCACAATTTCTGCATCCCATCCTGCAGAACTAGTAATACTCATGCCATGAAAACCAGGATAAGCTATGGCAGCAACAAGCTTAAGCTTATGATATTTAACAATAATTAAGGTACAGATGGCCAAAGTGCTGTCAATTGTTATCCTATGCTTGCAAGAGATGCATGACTGATCACAAAAATTCATAGTGAGATCTAACAGCCCTCCCTGAGTTTTTTGTGATAAAAAATGTTCAGTACAGTTTGAAAAAAACAGTTAGAATTTACCTGCTGTATTTTGTTTGTAGTTTCAACCGTCAAGTCATGTACTTTCTTTCCAGCCTCATCCAGTGACTACTCTTATCCCAGATCTACAATTCTCCTTTGTCCAGAATGACTTGTCAAAGGTTTGTCCACAATTCACCTTCTCAGGCTTGTCCACAGAGCACCTACCATTAGACTGTTCCATAAGTCACATACCGAGGCTTGTCCACAGGTCACCCATCAAGGCTTGTCCATAGACTGTGTACAAAGAGTTTTTCGAAGGCCACCTTCTGAGACTTGTCCACAGCCCACCCACCAAGGCTTGTCTACGGGCCAGTTACCAACTGAAGGCTTACCCATAGGCCTCACTCCAAGATTTGTCCACAGGCCAGGTCCAAGGGTTTTCCACAGACCAAGCATCCAAGCAATTATCATAGACAAGCCATTCACCAAGGTTTGCTCACAAGAAAGAACGTTGGCTTCAAAGGCCACAGAGGGTACATCTTTGCTAACAATCTATTAGGTAAATTAATTGGGAGAAAGGAGTGTTAAAGTAACCTAACAGTGCACACCAGTACTTTGCTAGGCAGTACTTTTGCAATTCTCATACCCCGTTCATTAAGTAACTGAATGCTCCTGTATTGGTTAACTGCTGTGCTAAACAATGCAGTTTATGATAAGAGAACATTAAAAACAATTTGTAATTATCTGACCATCAGCTGAACACCTTGAAGTTTCACATAGCAAAAGAGCAGTCTGTCAAAGATCATACTGATATTAAAGCAGACAGTTTTCAATTAGTCTACAACTATCACAAATAATGCTATTAGATCAGACTGTAAGCATGCATAGTAGTACTCAGTTACTTCACAACTCCATGACATCAAAGATGCTATACATTAAGGGTGGTCATTCTAGCTGCTAGAGATTATTCCCTTCTGCTATACTTGGACACAGGAAACTGTAATTGACTGTGTTTTTTATTCCTCAGTTATTCTTGGATGCATTTCCCTTGTAAGATAATATTTCAATGGAAAAATCTGTCTCTTTGTCAGAGTCATGGGACAGTGTACCAAACACAACAGGAGTCAAAAAGTGTTTTTCTTTCAATCATTAAAGATGTTTCCAACAACCAAGTCTATATCTTATCTGATTTCAGTTACCACTACGTTTAATAACAATGTTAAATAACCACCAATGTTTAATAAATATATCTTATTAACCAAGCACGAAGGCCATACTGGGAGAATATCGGCCCGAGGTCTTGACAGTACAGACTGAGCACAGTGAGGTCCATACAAAAAAGACAGAGGGCCGATATTCTTCCAGTATGGTCCCGAGCAAGCTTGGTTAATAAGAGATTTATTATACGACTGAAGTTCAAAGGGACACAAGTGCGGTATCATTTGGGACCATTTGGGACAGTGCCCGGTCCAATACTGAGAGAATATTGACCGGCAATAGAGCATTTTGATTGGTCGATTTTAGTTATTGGCCCTCTGACTGCCTGCGTCGTGTAATAACAGTGAATATTAGTTATTTTAGTGACAGTGATGGATATTTGTTTACACTGAATGATGTCTTACAACTATAAGTGACCTTAGTGAAAGTTAAAGTGACACTGAGTTAATCCTGTACCGGTGTGTAATGCTTAGAATCAGTGAATGACGTTTGTGACAAAGTGACCCTTATTATCATAGTCTAAATGGCTTGTGAGAGTATAGTATTTCTAATGGTGGAGCATCACAGAAAAGGCAGAAATAGCTATTTTGTAGGCACAGATCAGGGGACTGGGACTTTTTTTAGTGGAATTATGAAGAACTAATGGCAATATATAGTGTTGTTTGGTGAAATTTTGAGTCAGTTTAGGTCAGCACTCTTTCTCTTATACCCAAATTTTGTTGTTAACTTCTGAGATATTTGCTTTTAGCTATTTGTATTACCAGTTTTCCGTGTACCTCATCCCCTAGATTTGGCCTTACTGCATCTGATTTGAGCAGGTTGGGGGTATATGCTCCCCTTATTTTTCCACAACATGGTTTTGGAGTATTTGTATCCAGTGGTGTTGTGTTTAGCATTATACTGTACTTATGCCTGGTTTTCTTGGGGCAGTTTTGCAATAAACTGGCTTCAAGGTTCATGCTGACCTACAGGCACCTGTATGTACACTTGTGTGTGTGTTTCTCTGTATGGTGTGGACAAAATAAGTGATACTTGATAAAAGTCTAAATTTAACTCTGGTGACCATTGTTCGTGTCTAGTGATAGCAAGTAAAAAAAAAAAAATTAACTTTTTTAATAGCTAACACAATTACTGGTAACCCAGTAGTTTACATTGTGGGCTATAAACAAATAATTCAAATTGAACACAACATTGTTAAGAATCCCGACTGGCCAGAGGCAAACCAGTTGGCTATTTACAAGCATGGCTGAGGATTTGAACTCGGAGCCACCGTGAAACAAATTCAGGTAGTGGTCAGGGCGGGACTCGAACCCGGGAGCGACGGATTGTGAGTCCGACACGCTGACCACTTGTATTGTTAATAACTGTCACCAATGTCTTTTAATAAAGGGTAATGGTTAGTAACAGGCGATTTAGAATTATTTGGAACACCTAATAATTTTAGGAATATTTTTGGGACATTTTTGTTGTTGGGAAGTTGTTGAAACACTTTGGTTACCTAAGTATGGAGATCAACTGACCATTTTTAGAAATTCAGGTCATGTATGATGCTACAAAAATGACACACATCTGACCTAGGAAAAGTCAGCAGAAAGATTTCCATATAACTCCTTGCTATCCTGAAACAAAGCAGTGGTCCCAAAGGTAATCTGTTGTTTTGCCATTGTTTTCTTTCATCGATTAATTCTATGCATAATTAGGTAAGGAGTTATACAGAAATCTTGCCAAGTTAGCCGGCATATGGTCTTGTTTTTCTCCAGTTCGAAATTTCATTTCATCAACACTTGAAGATTAAGGGAAGGTGAATGAGCGCCTCCCCTCGACATACTTCATGGTGATGAATTATGGGGAAAGTTTCAAAAGGAATTGTGGCGTCATTAACTTTAAATTAAGTTGTCATGTATAAACACAATGAATTAACCCAGGTTGAGAACTTAATCATTCTCCTTCAGGATTAGAGGTTCAGATAGTATAACAAATTTTAAAATGTCTGTACGACAATCTCTAATTTACGTTAACTTTACCTCTACTTCGGTAACTGGTGCCAAAGTACTGCAAAGTAAGTAATCTTCTCCAGACTGAAGCAATTCATGTTTTCCGCCATGTTGCGCTGTTTTTTGTTCCCAATTTCTCCCGGTCTTTTCGAATGGAAAAACAAGTCACGCGTGGGCGTCACGCGTGAGTTTGTATCTCTCGCGGAAAAACGCGGAAATTTCGCCGGTGTCGCAGTGATATGTGTACCCCCGTGATATGTGTATCCCCGCACACATATCACTAGTGATATGTGTACCCCCGGTAGGGATACACAAAACACTGAAGCTTTGTACCCGGGTCTCCAAAGCTTTCAAGGAAAACATGGCGGTTACGAGGGACAGATTTTGTGGGTTTATATTTTAAAGTTTCAACCGATCTGACACCTAAAAAGTGTGTTTACGCAATAAGTTTTTCTGGTAAATTAAAGGTCTAGAACTCTACCGCGTGTGGAAACTATTTCGTGTTCACGTTCCGTATTTACATCAATCACTCAGTATACATCAAATCCTTTTGAATTCACCTTTAAAAGGGTCTTCTATATATTGTTGTTGTTGTTGTTGTTGTTGTTGTTGTTGTTGTCGTATTTTGTTTTGAAATCTGTACGGCCCTGGACAACCAAGTCCTTATCAGGACAACCGAAGTCTGCGTTGTCCAGTATTTGCCAGTATGGACAACCTGGATGTTTTTCTAATTCTGAGCAGTGTATGTTGTGTCTAATAAGTGCTCACAAAAACAACAGGCCAACCAATTTGAACTACATGCGAAAGATCAAGTATTTTTCTTGATAAATTAACATAAGTNACCCCCCTCCCCTCCAAAAAATAAAGAATTACTTTTTTTTTCAAATAAAGACTAGAGAGCAGCACTTCTGCGAAAAGTAGTTTGTAAAACTGTTTTTATTTTCCGACGCGTTTCGTCTAACTGTCGTAGACTTCTTTAGGGAGTCTTGCAAGTATAGCTAAACGCCTGTATTTATAAGCCAAAGTTACGGGGACCGATGACCGTAGAGGCTTGGCCTTACACGTTTTAAATTTTTCACAACTTCGCCTGCTCCCGTTCGCTTGTTCTTGTTCGTAAGTCTGGCCAAACCTCTACGGTCATCGGTCCCCTTAACTTTGGCTTATACATACAGGCGTTTAGTTATACTTGCAAGACTCCCTAAAGAAGTCTACGACAGTTAGACGAAACGCGTCGGAAAATAAAAACAGTTTTACAAACTACTTTTCGCAGAAGTGTTGCTCACTAGTCTATATTTGAAAAAAAAGGAATTCTTTATTTTTTGGAGGGGAGGGGGGTGGGGGATACACATATCACTGGCCGCCATATTGGAGGGGGTACACATATCACTAGTGATATGTGTGCGGGGATACACATATCACAGGGGTACACATATCACTGCGACACCGGAACTTCGCACATCGAGTTTTTCGTCAAATAAGGGGATATTCAAGTTAATCCATCTTCTCAGAGAACAGAATTATAGTGGAGGCGCTCTGAAGTGCGGAGTATGTTACCATAACTGACCTATACGAAAACAGAAACAAAGATCTCAGTGCACCTCACTTAGTGCCAACGGAAACAAATATAAGCATTTTTTTATCGCACTCGAATGATAAAACTAATTGCTTGCAAATTGATGTGAAAAAGTAAAAGAAGGTTCCAATGCTAGGGAAATCATTCTATATACAGTGAAGGAACAATGACAATATATTGTATATTTAGGGCTTTACAATACTAAAACGGTCGAGAACGCGGATGAAAACAGAGATTTTAGGAAAGAAGAGAATTTAAAAACGCTCTGTTCTTTAAGTGGACAAGTGAAAACGGAGGATTTTGTAAATAATGGAAACTGCGTCAAATACTGACGCTTTTATCTGCGTTTCGGTCCTTCTCATGCGGAATAGACAAATCAAAACTCATCCAAATGTATGCACTTTCAGATGAAAATGGCCACAGTTGGTGAAAATTTTGCTTCACTGCGTTTCAGACGAAAACAGACACTTATGAAGACTCAATAGTGTGGTCGGGGCCACAGTCAGGGAAAAGGGTCATTGAGCAGGCCAGAAGTCTGAAGTATACCTCGCTCTCGTCTTCTTCACGTGACCATATCGAAGATTAATAACAGTGACCAATCAATAGCGCGTAACAAAGAGTGGGCAAAGGTCGTGAGAACTAATTGTTTTCTATCTGCATATTTTAAAACTGGACCGTAATACAAAAGAATATTTTAAGATAACGATCGCAATAATTCGACATTTTCAAAGAGCAAGTTACAAAGGTGATGTTATTGCGTAAACAAATGAACATCACAAATTTCTTTCTGGCTTGATTCTGCCACATGACGCAGAGATCAACTATATAAAAATATTCGTAAACAAGAATTAGTCACTTCCTAGAAACAATTATGATTATTTTTGTTACTTACAGCAAAAAAAAGAGCAGAGAAAATGTTTTGCGTCATTATTTAAATACTATGAATGGCACATCTATAACATTCTACAACAGTCTAAAAACCTACAGGCCATATCGACGCAAAACCATGAAATACTTATGCAGAATGTTCTGACACGTTCTTGCAGCAATATCTACTTAAGGGGCAATGAAAAACTTCCTAATTGAATGATTCACAAATAGTTTTCTGATCATGTTATTTAATTGCCGACAGATTCAGTGAAGCCTTACTTTGGAAAAGTACTGATAATGTACATACAGAAATTTTTTCGAGCTCTTCAGTTGGTTAAGTTTTCAGCATGCCCCCCCCCCCTAAAATAGGCAACTGACCAAGTAGAGAAATACTCTAAAAAATTACTTTTGGAAATTTTTCGTGCCCTTAGAGCTCGTACGCAGCCATTTCAGTTCTTTCGAGCAAAGCGAGTTTGTAGAATTTTTTAAGATAGAACTGTACAATTACTTCAATAGTTTAAACGCCAACAACTCCAATAGCAAAAGCACTTCGTCCGCGAGGTAACTCGATATACTTCTCCCATTTGTTGAGTTCAAAATCAAAGGCATATGCAGTATTTTCGCCTCCATCGGCGCCAAACGCCACAAGCATGTTTTGGACAATTTTAGCCCGGCACAAGGAATATCCCACTGGTATCGGAGGGAAGTTTAGCCACACATGTCCCTCTAAATCAAACGCCTCAACTTCTAACACATCAGATCCATTTTTATCACAACCACCAACCACAAAAAGCTTTTTCTTCCATGCCACAGCAGCACAGCCGTAGCGCTTTCGCTTCATCGGTGGTAGCTTCGTCCATTTTCCTTTCTGTCCGTCGAATATTTCAGCAGAATTCTTTGCGGTGTTGAAGTAGAAGCCTGATCCGCCTCCGACCACAAGCAGCTTCCGGTCGATGATTCCGCCACCAAAGTTGCAGCGTGGCTCCTGCATCTCTGGAAGTGTAAACCACTCTCTCCTCTTGATGTTATAGAGCTCGACACTGTTTAGAACAGTGCCCTGATCGCAACCTCCAGCAACGAGAATTCCGTGCTCTGTCCCTGTCGCATAACAACCCCATCGTCGTTTTCTCATCGGTTTGAGGACGCTCCATTCCTTGGTAACCCAGTCATACATCTGTACCGTGTTAAGAGCCTTCCATCCCCCAAACCCACCCGCTACCACAAGAGCAGGAATAGCTGTTACTTCCGTAGCATAGCAAGCAGTTGTCTTCACAGGCAAAGGCGCAATTTCCCTCCATGTTCTTTCGGTGCAATTGAAGACTCCAACAGCTGAAGAGGGCTCGCTTTCGCTGCCCTCACTCGCCCCTCCGATGACGAATATATTTTCTCGCAACTCAATTATGTCATACTCTCGATCAAAGTCGGTTTCCTTCCCGGATCTGGTCTCTTCTTTCTCGGAAATCTCAACTTTAACTGCGGTGTTGCGGAGAAATTTCGCTTGGAATTTTTCCTTCAGTTCGCTTGGAAGAGCTATAACCGAGTCAAGCTTCTCTCGTAGCTTTTCTCCCGCCTTGTCGAAGTCGAACTCGTCGTGTTTTTCTTTTGGTTTCTTTTTTTCAAACGACTCTGTTTCAACGACGATCTGGGGTTCTTTAGTTTTGGACCAGATGGCGTCAGGTTTTTTGGTTGGAGCATCTTTCTCGGTAAAATCTCCCCTCGGCAGAGATCGGAGCCATATTGAAGCGTCTCGCAATACATCGACTGCACGCTCCATGTTTACAAATTACTTGCACTCACGTGTGATTTTCTCAGGTGCTTAACTCAGAGTTTTCTGCTCGAGACCAAAAAAAGTTGACTTTCGAACCTTGAAACAAGGAGAATTCCAATAATCATGAACTCTGAACACACTGCGCATGCAATCATCGATCCTTCAAGCCACTCTTCCAGAAACTTTGATCGCTATCCTTGCAGCTTCACGCCGGTAAAATCACGAGTACAGAAAACGTGAATGCAAATTCTAGAACTTTTCGTTCTCCTTGAGGTGTTATGCACAAAGCAATTTTCTTCTCAGGGCATTATTTGCATGGAAGTCGAGTTAAACGACGCGAACTGGTAAACATAACTAAGCGGCATAGAAAATTGTTACTGAGTAAAACGGATATTTCAGTTCTTGAGTTGCTAAGTGATCTTTTACTTGTTAAACCTCGCATTGTATTTGCATATCAGGAGACACGTCTCTTAAAATGTCGGGTAAAAACACAACACTGCCAATATTACGAACGAAACTGCGATAAGCTGATACGAAGGTCGATGTCAAAGGAGACAATAGTTTATTCAGATTAAAATTTCGGAGCAACCAAAAAGTAACATTTACCTTTTTAGCTAAATAAATATTAGTCACCTTTGTATAATTTGCTCTGAGAAGTTAAAAATCAAGATTCACACTAATCAAAAATCACTATTTGTACAAGGGTTACAAAAATGAATACCGACTTAAGTACTGGAAGAGATGGGACAGTAGAGAGACCGGAAAGCACCTGTTCGCTTATTAGCAGTGAAACAGTTCTTTCCTTCTTCAAAGACGGGAAATGAATGCGAATGCAGTTATTTCCAAGCGAAATAGATTAATTAGAAGGACAATGTCCCTTGGTTCCATGAATACAAACATTCATAAATATTCAAGTACCATTTTTAAAATTTTTCACATTTGCCGCAATTGCACTTTTTTATAATTTCGATTTCCTAGCTATCTTAAGATAGTGAAAGAGCGACTGAAGAGACATTAAAAAGTTGTCTCTTTTCGCTTGCAATGAGGGATCCTGAAGAAAAAGAGGTTACAGTGATCCCGTACTCTTAAAATAATTAACGTATTATAATGCATCATACGCTAACAACATTTAATCTCCACCGGAAGAGCTCCCAGCAAAATCTTTTTTAAGGTTTATGTACACCAAATATTCCGCAACATAAATTGTATTAATACCAATGCATTTTGGAAGGAAATAAGGACATGTACTCTACTTTCGCAGTTCGGCAATTACGCGCCTTACAATAAAAAGAAACACTGTTTCGTGACAAGTTTCTTCGTTCCATGCACGTTGTCCTTAGTGACAAACGTGCTTCGACGTAGCTCATCGGTGGATTTAATCCAGTTCTAAAAGCACTTCAATCGACAGATAAACGGGAACTGTTAAGTAACAATCGAGATATAGTAAAATGTTCATCTCCCAAGATCCTAGCTAGACGGACGAAGAACTTAATGGGTTTGCGTACATCGGTTCAGGCGTGCTTCCGTAGGTGGCTGGAAAAAGGATTTCCGCCTCCCGCTGTGCCTTTTAAGCCGATGTGTCCGAAAACGGCCATATGTTTAGACCCGCATTAAGGCATTTCATTAAGTGCAGTTTTCATAGAAACACGAGGGTGTAAGAATGCATGTCTTTTCTACTCCATACGATATAATGATAATAATAATGATAATAATAATAATAATAATAATAACAATAATAACAATAATAATAATAATAAGAAGAAGGTTCTTATGGTGGAAATGAGCTGCCCTTTGATCAACAACAGAGACAAGAAAGACAAAGAAAAGACCAAGAAGTATGGAGCACTTAGACTTGAGCTGACAAAACAACACCCAGGATACAAGATCCCACAAGTAAACGTCATTGTAGATGTACTTGGAGGATGGTCTAAAGCTATGGAAACTGAAATGAAGGGCTTCTTTGTATTAAGCTGTATTATTATATTAGCTGTATCTTTGTATTAAGCTGTATTAAGTAGCAATCTGAACATTGCAAGAACATTTAAACTGGTTACATCGTAAGAATTTTAAGGACATTATGATTTGGTTTTTATGAACAGTATTTTATGAACATTTTAAGTTAAGGATATTTTAA